TGCAAAGACTTTAAAGTCAACAGAATGAACATTTTCTGGCTGAGGGTTGTCTCAATTGTACTTATGGGTGATTTGTTAATTTTGTTTTCAAAATCTGGAGGAACCTTTGTCGCCAAATTATTGAAAAATCAAGACAAATTAATGTTACCATATGGTTCTCACATTATTACTAGTAAAGATTGCTTAAAAATTGCAGCGTCTTTATTTAGAGCTTCTAATTTTTTTTTTTGTGTATCACATACAAATTATAATTTAATATTTGGTAAACTTTTTAAGAGTGAAATGAAAAAATGTGGACATAGCAACTAAGTTTCACATCACACATTTAAGATTTCTTATAAGTGTTCAATATCCAAGAATTTATGGGTATGAATAGAAAAAAAAAGCATAGTGACCGTTTTACACTTCCATACAATTTAACTCTGGTTAGATTGCATTTGAAGCAGGGAAGTAAGTTACCATACTGTTTTGAATTTATCTTTGCACTTAATGTAATGACTTTATGCAAAAGCTTTTCACTTCAAACTTCCAGTTTGGATTTTTTTCTCTTAAAAATCCTAAAATTGTTGAACTGCTGGGCAGACAAGAAGTGAAAGTACTTTCTACCCCAGCTACATAATTAAAGGCAGTGCAGTTCTAATATGAAAACCAACATTATCATGCATTAAAAAAGAATGAAAAAAAAAAGTCTGTCTTTTCCAAATGAGCCACTACAACAATTGTGAATGTTCCAGCAATTATAAGAATCCCACCAAGTATAGCAATATTTTTCCTTGTCAAACAAGACAAATAACGGCTCATAGTCACTAAATTCATGTAGACAACTGTTTAAGCTTATATTTTCCTTGTAAATTAAGTACTCAAGTTTTTTCTACAAGTGAGTATTACATTTTATAAGTTCTAAAGTATTTGACCTTTTCAAAAACCTTATTAGCATAAGCGTGAGTGGTCCATTACCTTAGTTACACTGCCCCACTTTAAGTAGATGATTGTGCACAATGACTTTCAAAAATAATTCTTACTCTGCATGCACAGACAATAGAGCTGAATAAACTCCAAAGCTTAATTTTTGTTTTCCATAGTTTCCTTCCTGGAGGTGTTTACATGCTTTATGTCCAAAGCCAGTTACAAATCACCTAGTTTTATGAAAATACAACTACATTAAAACTTCATGAAATTCATTTATAGTTGACAAAAAAAAAAAAAAAATAAATCTTAAGACAATTATTTTAAAGTTAATAGTTTTAGTAGTAAGAGGAAATTTAAGAACTCTGTATATTCAAAGCGAACCAAAAAAAAAGTTACCCTTAAAAGCAAACAAGTAATTTGTTAGAAGAGCTATGAAATTACCTCCCCTTTTTCTTTTGGTCACAATCTCCCTAACTTTAAATTGTCATTTCATAATTTTCTCATTAACAAATTTTTATATGGACTTTAGTTTGCAATGATAAATTTAATATAGAAAAAGTAGAAATATTTGTAATAAAGAAAATCCTAGAAAAGGTTATTTGATATCCAAACAATACCTAGTAGCATATGATGCAAAGATGTAATAAAATCAGGTTGCTAAGCAAAAAAACGGATGCACTTAAGATACAGGAAACCAGGTTATCAGCATCAGATTGATAAATATTTCAAAGTTTCTTTAATTTTAAGAACTGTTACTGTATTTTTCATCTGATAAGTCATACAGCTTGCACATCAATCTTGTCTATGCTACTCGCTGAATAGGCAGTTAGTAAATCTTAGCTGGCCTAGACCCTAATATTAGTGCCATAGGAAAGGAGCACCACCTTTACACTAGTGTTGGACCTTGCAGAATTTCTCAGTTGTGATTCTGTTGTACATTACTTTGTACAAATAACAAATGAACAAAATATATGGATTAATATCTGCTAAAGAGGGAGAGTAGCAATTACATTGAAACTATCAATCATGTGCAAGTGGAATAAATGAAATTAATTTCTCAAATAAAGGCCCAAGCCTTTCTTTATGCTCATTTTGCTTCAGCTTTCTAAAGTGACCAAATACAAGCTATTTTAGAAACCGGAAGCTGAATTCTATAAGTTAACTGTGTGTTAGTTAATTTGCAATCCAAAAATCATATAGCTGAAAATAAGCATAAAGTTTCAAAGCTTGTTTCAAATATGATAAAAGGTTTGTGATACATTAAATTCATAGAACATTGTAACTACAGAGTTCTGTCATCATTGAGTGTCCCTATCAAAGTGGATTTGTGCAAGACAAAGCTTAGAGCAATGCAAAGATTAAATCACTTCATGATCAAGCTGCATAAATCTTCCCTCTTAATTGAGATTTAAAATTAGAAGACGATGCAGAGTTGAATTACATAATGTGACCTAGCTGTTTATAATGAATGGAAATTTTGGTTGAGCAAGAGATATGAGAGGGAGAGTAAAAATTATTAGCTCAGTTTTCACAAAGGTAGAATGTTAACTGGTTACCTAATTTTTTTTAATCAGTCCCCACCAAGGTGATAGTCCCACTAAAATATAAGTGGCTAATGGGAGTGAAAGAGAATGACTTTAGAAGAAATTGGAAACCTGATCCTAAAGAGGAAACAAGGGATAAACCTCTACTCCTGTTCAAAAGGAGCAGGGAGTATCTAATCAGTTCCATGTATTTCAATGTGGCTAATTGTCCAAGTCTTTTATGGTGTCAACGTAAAGGGCACAACAGGAAGTGTGTGTGTTAAACAAAAAAACACCACCACTTTGTGTCAAATGAAATATTTCATTTAGATAATGTTCAATAGACAGTCTGAAAAGTTACCAGAAAACTCAAGAATTGTTAAAAAATTTCAATTAAGCTACACATAGGATTTTTACATTTCTACTTTCAGTATCATCTATCAACTAATGCAGGAATATAGTATCAAAGGAAGGTTAGTATCAAGACTTGAGACTGGCTCACCACTCAAGATAAGCAATACAAGATTACAATTGCACAATACTGAATTTAAGATATTTTTAATATAAAAATGTTAAAATCCCATTATCTACCAATTGAATAATTGCTATATTGCCTAGATATTTCATACAATTTTGTAACAACTTGTGGATAATATAAAGTTAAGGGACAGCCAGAAAAAGGCGAGTAAATAAATTCCTTCTAAACGTTTAAACTGAACTTTGATAGGTTCTACAAACAAAAGATGCTTGAAATTTGATAAAAACGTGAAAACTTATTAATAATTGATGTAGAATGTTTCAGAACTTCAAGTACTATCGATATCAAATGAAAGATTTTGGAAATAAATTGTTACTTTAATACGCTGTGGAGAAAAAAAAAAAAAAAACTGCCTCTAAGCTAAGACATTTGAAAATTATATATCACAATTAGTTTGAAGCAATTTTCAAAATAAATAAAAAAAAAAAAAAAATTTAAGTGACGGGCACCTCATTCATTTGAAGTAGATGTCTCATGCTATCAATATTTATCTTTTCATGAGATCATAAATTCCTCCAAGAAATAGAAGTTTTGAAATCCTTAACTGAACAGGATAAAATTTTGTGCAAATACTTTGGGGAAGAGAATTTTCATTGTGTCTTTAAGGCCAGCATAAAAACTTTTAGATGGTTAAGTACCTAAAAAAAAAAAAAAAAAAAAACACTCGACAAATCTAATACATAAGCACAAGTATTACTGCACATCTTATTACAGCTAGAAGTGTATTAATAGGCTCACTGCAAAATTTACAATGGTTAATTTTAAAACTGACAATTTTTTTTCTAATCATTTTGCAAAGATATTTTCTCAAGTGAAATTACTTACAGCTCCTAAATGACTGCACACAAGGTTGTTGCAGCATGCATACTGTAACTAGGTTCAACAAGTTGTAATCTGCATAAAGGTCTTAAGATATAAGATCAAATTTTAAACTAATCATAACTTCAGTCATCTGCTATAAATCACGGAAGTTTAATAAGCGCAATATTGCTTCTTTCTTTTTTTAGTGATCACCATAAAACATAAATTAAACATTTATAGACTGCTATATTAAAGAAAATCTAAACATTTCATAAGTTTTCTTTTTTTTTTTTTTTTTAAACTTTGCAGCTATTTACAAAGAAACAAAAAAAGATAAAGTACAGGGTACACAGAGAGAGAGTATTTGGTATGATGTCAACTAGTTTTTCTGTTCATATAAAAAAAAAATATGAGTTGTGGCACACAAGTACTTAGAGATTTTGCCATAGATCAACTGGAGAAGATAACTTACAAAACTCACTTTTAATGCAAAATGGTTGCATAGTCATTAAGGTTAAAAAAAATTCTCTAGTTTTTGAACAGTGTTATTGTGATGCATTTAATTGAATGACAAAAAGTAGGAAGAAAAGACTTTGTCCCTAGAAAGAACTTTAGTAAAAAAAAACTCACCACCTCCATTTTGTCATACTCACTATAGTGTGTTCATAAGCAGACTAAAACTTAATCTATTAACAGGAAAAGATGAATGGATATCAAAGCCTTAAATAAAAACTTCAAGTACTGAGGTTAGGAAACAAGGTTGTTTTGATTATGTTAGCATCAACTGGATAGAGAAAAAAAAAAATTTACATATTGCAGACATCCAGAATGGCAATGGCTGGAGAGTAATTGCAAATCAACCAGCACCATGAGAATTGCATAATTAACTTACCCATCTCCTGCAAAAGTAGGAGGAAAAAAAAAAAAAAAAAAAAAAAATATATATATCAAGGTCACTTTTAGGATATTCACTAAAGTCACATTGAGGAGGAAAAAAAAAAAAAAAAAAAAAAAAAAAAAAAAATAAAATAATAATAATTAATATATATATATATATATATATATATATATATATAAAAACAATGCAGGAAAAAAAAAGACAAATAGTACAACCGCTTGGTCATGGATGGTCACTTAGCAAAGTGAAGAAAATGAAAACTTTCTGAAAAATGTGTTTTATTTGACTAGAACTGATTTTCAGTGGAGATCAGAAGCGTCTTAGGTGGATTTTAGAAGACAAATTGTACAGGAAGGAGAACAAGGGAGGAAGAAAAAGTTATTGTAAGGAAGCCACTGGGGAGGGAAGGGAGAAATTTTTTTTTTTTCTCAAATACAAACAAATTTGAAGTGAGCAGTTGGAAGAGAGGGCATAATAGAAGGATGTCAACATAAGGCTGACAACCACATTAAAGGGAGTTGGGGAGATTTCAAATCCTAACAGAACCAAAGAGTGAGCAAGAGAGAGAAGAAAGGAAAGGAGTGAGGGGAAAAAAAAAAAAAAAGTTACCAGCTTTGATAACATAGAACAGTCTTCCCAGTGGAGCAATAATCTCAGAGATCAAATTGTTGCAGTACTTTGCATTAGTCAGCTTCAAGATAGATCAGGAATTACAAAAGGCAGGTTTTTGTTTTCATGTCAGTAGTCTTGATCAAGGAACATGGGAATTGTACACCAAATGCCTTCAAGGCTGGATATTGGCAAAAGGTATCTTTCTAATCACTGACATTATGGGGAGTAATGAAAGCTTGTTCAACAATAGTAAGGAAGAAAACAATGTCAGTTGAAATAGACAACATTTACTGCATGAAGTCATTTTTAATTTAACCAGGAAACATAAGCAATGATAAAGGTAAATTCAAGTTGATTTATTCTCCCTACACTTATGACACACTTGATAAAATAATTTAAGTTTTTAGTTATCTAAAAAAAAAAAAAAAAAAAAAAAAAAAAAAAAAAAAAAAAAAAAGTGAAAATATAGTGGCCAATTCAGAGGCTGAAGGGAGAAGTAAAAATGTGCATTAATATTAAAAAAATACTACATGAAACATTTTAGATAGTGATCTCGAGTTTGGTGAGAGGAAAAAATAACAAATAACAACTAATTTTGATTCTTAATTTGTGCATATCATAATCAGTATATAAAATTCAAAGAAAAATTTAAATATAAAGCAAATGTTGGTCTGCAACACGAACTAGCAAAGCTTAATAAGAGGAGGAAGAGGAAGGAAGTTGGGAGAAGACATGAAAAGTAACAACTAAGGATTAACCATAAAAAAAAGTTTACTAGATATCAAAAAGAAAAAGTACAAATCCTTTTATTTCACAGCAAAATCTTTAATCTAAATGTTGTACACTAGAGATAAAGATGAACAAATTAGTAAATTGAACAGAGAGGCAAGTGCTGTGTTGAAGAGTTGCACTCAAAAAGTATTGGGCATTTAATTTAATTAGAAAAAAATTTTTTTCCAAACTAAAACATGCAATATTGGTTGGTGACTATTTTTTTGGCAGTGAGCAATATTCAGAAATCGAGGTGTTTGCCCCACCTGAATTGGAATTTAATTTTTTAATTCTGGTTTTAGTCAAAGTGAAATGAAATGCCTCTACCCCCAACCAAACACTGGATAGGAAAAAGGGGGCCGGGTGGGGAGGGATTGTGAATGTCTACACCTAAGTGTGGTTCCTTGCTACAATTTAGTCTGTGTCAAAGCTGATTTTATTATTTAAAGTACATAAACAGAAAATCTTGTCCTGCCCAGATTTGCCACAAATGATTGCACAACATCTTAGAATAGTCTCCAGCAATAAAAATTTAAATTTACCAAAGAAATGTTGTCGAAAAATTTTTGTATGACCTTTCTTACAATGAAAGCAAAATGTAAGCTTATCAGTTCAGTGGACTAAATGTAGGAGAGTCAGAGAGATAGAAAGGGAGAAAAAGAGAGAGGGAGAGAGAGAAAAAAAAAAAAAAAAAAAAAAACCACACACACACACAAAAACACCTGCAAAAAGATTCAAACCCAAGAAGCAGACCATAGTGTTTTCTCCCCCCAACCTCCAATTTTTCAAGCAGTGAGAAAAGTAGTATAAAGTGGGGAAGAAAGCATAGAATTATATTAAAAAAAAATTAAACTGACCAATTTAAAGCAGTTTACTTCCTGAATGCTAACATTAGGGCATAATTAAGAATATGAGTGCGTGCATGTATAGGGTGTGTAATGTCAATGCATAAGTGAATGTTCTGCAAAATAAGGGGAGAGGGTCAGAGAAGAGAGGAAGAAAAGAAAAAAAAAAAAAAAAAAGTTAAGAACTTGTACTTCCAAAAGTGATTTGCAAAGCCATCCATGCAACAGACAAAGAGAAGTCCAATAGTGAATACAGTAAAGATGTACTCATTCTGAAAAACAGCTCGGCAGTCATTCCTTGAAGACAGTAAGTAAATAAACACTTTAGTTAAGTACTGCTAAAATTGGCAGTTGGAATTTAATCTTCAGAATTCATGGCAACATACAAAATGCATTATTTCCACGGTAACATCAGTCTTGCCAGCGAATGCTTTAGATACAATTAAGAAAGGGGGGTAAAAAAAAAAAAAAAAAAAAAAAAAATGTCCACTATCATTGAGGGTGGGTAGTCAGGGAAAAATGTGACAGGGGTGAAAGGAATACATGACAGATTTACTTGTATTCCCACAAACATCCAAATAAAATGAGGTGTAATAATTAGACAGTCCTTTATTACTGAAGGGGGAATAGGGAAATGAGGACAAGTTGTAGCAAGAACCAGCACAGAAAGTTTAATCCACAAGTATTGCCCAACAAAAACAGCCTAGGGATATGCATTAAAAAAATTTTTTTTTTTTTTTAAGTAAACAGAAGCAAAATCAATTTCTGATAATACCCAATGAAAGAAAATCTCATTTTATTTCTAAGAAAAAAAATAAGTCATATCTGAAAACATTCTGACCAAGTTTAATTTGTTGACTATGCATGAAGCCAGCTTTAAATATTAACTGGCATAAATTAGGCCGAATTTTATTAGGTATACTTATGGGAAAGGGAGAAGAAAATAAAACAAAGATCTTACCTAAACAATTCCTTTAAGATAGAATGTGAACCTTTGTCAACATTTGGTTATTTTTCATCTATCACAAAAAAAAAAAAAAAAAAAAAAAAAAATCTTGACATTGTTCGCTAGCAACGCTTCAGTAACCAATTTGGATGAAAATGCATGGGGGAGAAAAAGCATGAAGATTTTATTCTCACACCAATAAAGTATTGGACAACAGCACATGGAGAAAGGAACATTTATTTTGTATGTAGTTTTTAAGGAGCGCATCATGCCAGTGTTTTATTATTAATATTATAATTATTATTATCATCATTAACCTTGAAAAGGAGGAGAAGGAGGAGGAAGTGGCAGGCCACAAGGCCCGATGCTAGTCACACCCCACTATTGGTCATTATATTTTTGTTTTATAACTTGGGCCACAGAACTTTTCGCACATGCTTCAACACAAAACACAACACTTGGATATGTTCAATGATACGGCTAAATCTAGCTAGAATAGCAGTCTCTGGTTGGCCTGAATGCAGCAGACCGTTGTAGCACAATATTGTACCACAACAAATTAAACACTACAGCTGGCTAAAGACACAGTAGTGTGCAGAGAGCACAGACTGTCACACAGGCGAGGCCACTGCATCTCGCCATGATGCAACAGTAGCTTAACTGGAGTGATCGATTGGAATCAGTAACCATCTGTAGGGGGGGGAAGTTCACCAAGCAGAACCTTATTAAAATTGAGAAAAGATGATACCATTTAAAGAATGTTGTACATAGAAATTTTTTTCCCTTCTTTCAAGCTAGCAAATAGCCCATGTTGTTGATCCTTGAGAAGAGTATGTGTGTGTGCGCACATACGTCTATACAAACAAGAGAGATGCACAGTACATTGTCAGTTGGTGCATGCAAAACCTGTGTATAGAATACACACTCACCTACACACATACACATTAACGTGGATATAGAAAAAAGAAATTGAATCTTGCGTTAACATCCTTCCATCTTTGGCAACTGTTAATTGATAGTGTCGCTAATATTTTCTGATAGAGATGGAGTCCTAAATAATTAAATAGTTCCTAATAAAATGTCATTTGTTGATGTTACAAGAGGAAGCATCATCAACAAAGTAATAAAGCCTCAGCAAAGATCTTCAGCATTGTCAGCATCAGATTGGCTCACACAGAAGAACTAGAGAATGAGAAGACGTCTTGAGCTTGGTATAGGTAGTAACAGTACGTGATGATGGTTGTTAGTACATGACCAAATGAGGTTCTGAAGGCTGCAGCCAGACACTTCTCAGTTATTGTCACCTCCGTCACCACCTTCATCTTCTGCACCCTGTGCATCGGACGTCCATAGCTGTAACAAGGAGAGAAACGCATGTTGGAGATTTCTTTACTAATCAGAAATGTGATTCAAATACAGACATGAAAAGAAAGATTAGCCTCACAAAAGCTAGGGTGTCACATAAGTGATTATCTGATAAAATAGTCAGTGCTTGAAAATGGCTTTATAAAATAGAGCAATGAAAATTTTTGTACAGTTGACCCAATAAAGCAAGAAAAGTTATGAGAATTATCCTCTTCATTCTCAGTTAAAACAAGCAATAAATTAAAAGCAGATTCAATCCTTACTTAGAAAGAAAGAAAAAAAAAACTTACTGTTAAATTGTCCCTCAAAAGCTGCATTATCAATGTACTATCCTTGTAAGATTCTTCATTCAATTGATCTAATTCAGCAATTGCATCATCAAAAGCCTGCAGAAGAAATATGATAATTATTAAATACTAATCTCTAATTAAAAAAAAATAAAAAATAAAAAGGTTAGCCCACTTCAATATATACCATGAGATATGTGTGCATGCTTGCTTTCTCTCACAAACACAAAAAAAGAACAAAAACAATGGGGTACTCACTTGTTTTGCTAAGTTACAAGCCTTGTCTGGAGCATTTAGAATTTCATAATAAAATACAGAGAAGTTAAGTGCCAACCCAAGTCGGATTGGATGTGTAGGTTGCATTTGACCTCTGGCAATTTCCAATGCTTCTAGATATGCGGTCTGTGAGTTTGCTACAACATCTATGTGTTTATAAAAAAAATAAAAAATAAAAATAAAAACAGACTAGATAAATCTCAACAGATGCAGAAAAAAAAGAAAAAAAAAGATAAATTTTCAAAGACAGTTAATAGTAGAATATAAAAGACCAAAGGATTTCATGAACAAGTCTGATGAAATAGCAATTTTGCTATATCAAAATGCATTAAAAAAATTTAAATATAAAAAAATATTTAAAAACAAGAACAATATACGTAAATGTTACCTTTTCTTTCATCGCCTTGGGCAACTTCAGCAAGATACCGGTAATAGTCTCCTTTCATCTTCAAATAAAATACTTTGCTTTCTGTAGCAGAGGCTTTTGGTATCAAAAAGTTATCGAGGAGACCCTATTAAAGAGAAAGGCATATGCATATGTAAAAAATAGATTGATAGATAGATAGATACATATAAAGATATATATATAAAGATATAAAAGATATAAATATATATATAAAGATAGATATATATATAGATATAAAGATAGATATAAAAGATAGATAAAAAGATAGATAGATATAAAGATAGATAGATATAAAGATAGATAGATAGATAATATAAAAGATATAGATAGATATAAAGATAGATAATGATAGATAGATATAAAGATATAGATAGATAAAGATAAATATAAAGATAGATAGATATATAAAGATAGATAGATATAATAGAAGAGATAGATAGATATAAATAGATAGATAGATATAAAGATAGATAGATATAAAGATAGATAGATATAAAAGATAGATAGATAGATATAATAGATAGATAGATATAAAGATAGATAGATAGATATAAAAGATAGATATAAAGATATAAAATATAAAGATAGATAGATATAAAGATAGATAGATATAAAAGATAGATAGATATAAAGATAATAGATATAAAGATAGATGATATAAAGATAGATAATATAAAGATAGATAGATATAAAGATAGATAGATATAAAAGATAGATAGATATAAAGATAGATAGATAGATAAAGATAGATAGATATAAAGATAGATAGATATAAAGATAGATAGATATATATAATAGATAGATAGATATATAATAGATAGATATAAAGATAGATAATAGATAGATAGATATAAAGATAATGATAGATAGATAGATAAAGATAGATAGATATAAAGATAGATAGATATAAAGATAGATAGATATAAAAGATAGATAGATATAAAGATAGATAGATATAAAGATAGATAGATATAAAGATAGATAGATATAAAGATAGAAAGATAGATATAAAAATAGATAGATATAAAGATAGATAGATATAAAGATAGATAGATAAAGATAGATATAAAAAGATAGATAGATATAAAGATAGATAGATATAAAGATAATAGATAGATAGATATAAAGATAGATAGATAGATATAAATATAAAGATAGATAGATATAAAGATAGATATAATAGATAGATAGATATAAAGATAGATAGATATAAAGATAGATATAAAGATAGATAGATATAAAGATAGATATATAAAAGATAGATAGATAGATAGATATAAAGATAGATAAAGATAGATAGATATAAAGATAGATAGATATAAAGATAGATAGATAGATAGATATAAAGATATGTATAAAGATAGATAGATATAAAGATAGATAGATATAGATATATAAAGATATAATATAATAGATAGATATAAAGATAGATAGATATAAAGAAATATAGATAGATATAAAGATAGATAGATATAAAAGATATAAAGATAGATAGATATAAAGATATAGATATAAAGATAGATAATATAAAGATAGATAGATATAAAAAGATAGATAGATATAAAGATAGATAGATAGATAGATAGATATAAATAAAGATAGATAGATAGATAGATAATATATAAAGATAGATAGATATATAAATATATAATAGATAGATAGATAGATATATAGATAGAGATATAAAAGATAGATAGATATAAAGATAGATATAAAGATATATAAAGATATAAAAGATAGATAGATATAAAGATAGATATATATAAAGATAGATAGATAGATATAGAAGATAGATATAAAGATAGATAGATATAAAGATAAAGATAGATAGATAGATAGATAGATAGATATAAAGATAGATAGATAGAAAGATAGATAGATATAAAGATAGATAGATAAAGATGATAGATATAAAGATAGATATAAAGATAGATAGATATAAAGATAGATAGATATAAAGATAGATAGATATAGATATAAAGATATAAAGATATATAGATATAGATAGATATAAAGATAGATAGATATAAAGATAGATAGATATAAAATAGATAGATAGATAGATAGATAGATAGATATAAAGATAGATAGATAGATAGATATATAAAGATAGATAAATAAATAGATAGATATAAAGATAGATAGATAGATAGATATAAAGATAGATAGATAGATAGATAGATAGATATATAAAGATAGATAGATATAAAAGATAGATAGATAGATAGATATAAGATAGATAGATATAAAGATAGATAGATAAAAGATAGATAGATAGATAGATATAAAGATAGATAAAGATATAAAGATAGATAGATAGATAGATAGATATAAAGATAGATAGAAAGATAGATAGATATAAAGATAGATAGATATAAAGATAGATATAAGATAGATAGATAGATAGATAAAAAAAATAGATAGATATAAAGATAGATAGATAGATAGATATAAAGATAGATAGATAGATAGATAGATAGATAAAAGATAGATAGATATAAAGATATAAAAGATAGATATAAAGATAGATAAAGATAAAAGATAGATAGATATAAAGATAGATAGATATAAAAATAGATAGATAAAGATAGATAAAAAGATAGATAAAAGATATAATATAAAGAGATAGATATAAAGATAGATAGATATAAAGATAGATAGATATAAAGATAGATAGAAATAAAGATAGATATAAAGATAGATAGATATAAAGATAGATAGATATAAAGATAGATAGATATAAAGATAGATATAAAGATAGATAGATATAAAAGATAGATAGATAGATAGATAGATATAAAAGATAGAGATATAAAGATAGATAGATATAATAGATAGATATAAAGATAGATAGATAATAATAGATAGATAGATATATAAGATAGATAGATAAAGATATAAAGATATATAAAGATAGATAGATATAAAGATTTTAGATAGAAAGATAGATAGATAAAAGATATGAATGATATATAAAGATAGATATAAAAAAGATAGATAGATAGATAACTGATAGATATAAAGATAGATAGATAGATATAAAGATAGATAGATATAAAGATAGATAGATATAAAAGATAGATATAGATAGATATATAAAGATAGATGTAGATAAAAAAGATAGATAATAAAGATAGATAGATATAAAAGATAGATATAAAGAAGCTAGATAAAGATAGATATAAAGATAGATATAAAAGATAGATATAAAGATAGATAAAGATTTTTATAAAGATAGATATAAAGATAGATATAAAGATAGATATAAAGATAGATATAAAGATAGATATAAAGATAGATATAAAGATGATATAAAGATAGATATAAAAACTAGATATAAAGATAGATATAAATATAGATATATAGATATAAAAGATATAAAATACTATTTTAAGTGATGATAAATAAAATGTTTGCAAAAATTCATGAGTTTTCAATTTATTATTCAATTTGCATATTTTATTGAATACAAAGGACCTTTCTCGTTTTCTGATTCAAGTTTTACTTGAAGTTTTACTTTCTGAAATTTTACAAACATTGATATTTCACAAAATAAGACTAAGGAAGTGACTTGATAGACTTTAAATCTAAACCTTTCTTTTTCAACATATCCTTTTCATAAATAAGCACCAACAATTGTATTAAAATGAATAATTAACAGATGTTTCAAAGATTTTTTAAAAAAATGCTTATGAAAAGGAAATTAAGAGCATAGGCTGCAAATTCTTTGCAATATATATATATATATATATATATACACACACACCTATATATACCTACATACACCGTTTTCTCACAAGGCAATCGTAGTGTATTTTGCGGAAGTAAAAAATAATGCTATTTAGGCAAATAACTGAGAAAAAAAAAAAAAAAAAAAAAGCAATTTGCAGATGCATGTCGTGACTAATTTTTGATAATTAGTTTTTTTTTAACATTCAATAAGAATTTCAGGATTTTTCTTTTATTATGTTATACTTTTGAAATTATAAAATACGTAAATTATCCATTTAAATTTCTAATATATTTATCTTGGCGAAGACACCAATTATGACAAATAGGTGATATCAATAAATATTGGTGATGCCAAGAAGCAAGATTTTTATGCAGATGAAAGGAAATGGAAAGTAAAGGTTTGTGGAGGAGGGCGAGACGAAACGGATAGCGATGGCGGTAGTTAGGAAAGACTTAAATGAAAGCGTAGTCAGCGTTAGGGAGAAGCAGAGAGAGGGAGGAGGAGGAGGATGGCGTGAACTGTTGCCGCCCACTTTGTGAAGCACGTTTCTAGAAGAATCCCAGACTACACACATCAGTCTGTACAGATAACAGGCAGACATTTCTCTAAACATCTGCAGATTTTTTCAATTAGCTCCTATTTAACTTGAATTCTCAAAGTAAAAGCTATCAACTAACACGATTTGCTGTTATTTTTAGTAAACAACATTTAAATTTTCTTTAATAATGATAATCAGGTTCGATCACTCATGATTACATTTACTGCAATTTTGAAAAAAAAAAATAATGAATAAAAAAAATAAAAAAAAAAAAAAGAAGATTGATAGAACAATATTTGATCTTTTTGAAAAAGGACATCTTCAACATTTTAAGAATCCGCGGCATGAAATATTAATGCCATAGAACATACATATGCTTTACTATTATTTTGGGGAGGAGTTAAGGCTTGCACAGACGAAATATGGTCATAAAGAAATGAGATGAAGTGTAAAACAAATCAAGGTCAACATCGCTTTTAAAATATCACTTAAAAATGTTTTGCATAGTCTTAGAAAAAGCAAAGGAGGAAATAAAAACCTCATATGCGTATAGATGATGACTTAAAAAATAACTGAAAAATAGATTTACATGAAGGGTGGGGTCCAGTATTTTTTTCTAACAGTAGCAGACCTACATCACCAAAAACAGAATTGTAAAAAGAAACAAAAATGCCAGATCCCAACATCTGCATTATTATCATAGATTCATGATGAATGACAAACTGTCTGGAACTGCAATTTTTAAGTTAACACAAGAATCAGCCTCTTA